ATGCCGTAATTTGGCAATTTCTCGCAGATTTCCACAGTCTGACATTCGGATTTGATCAATTAATTTGAATAACACCGGTCATTTATCATGTCGCGGCCCCAGATTCGAAAGGGTTGCCTGGCTGGCAGGATATTTCCAGGTCTAGGGGGCTGATTGGTGGCGACTGACGAAGTTAATCCCCCATCGAGTTTGGATATTTTTTACACAGCTCACAAGGGATTTGAATGGTTTTCTTTGGCTATTTTTAAAATGAGTGTCATTAGGTTTATATATCTATGAACGTTTTAAACACTTATTGCATAAGTAATCACATATTAAAAAGCTAATTTATTAGTTTTAATGCAAATATATTTAACATATTATTGCCTGCTTGAAACTATGGCTACTTCTTTTAAGTGTCCTGTAAATAAATACATAACGGTTGATTTAAATAGTTCTATAACACAATAATAATAATTCATAAAATAATAAAAAATCATATGATAAAATAATTTAAAGATATAATTAATTTGTTTTATATCAATACTATTTAAAATATATAGTTTATTGATACACAAAATAAGGCGAATCATAAAGTATTGTGGCCGACATTTTGGGAATTTTCGTTTGCCACAAATAATCATAATAAATGACAAGCAAAATGTTTAAATTACGTTTTTAATAAGCACAACAATACTTTATGGTATTGCCGCATTACTCCCCGTTTGTGTACCCATATATCTTTTATTCCCATTTCAACGCCCAGCCAAAGCAAGTCACGTAAAAAGTAAGCAAAAGTTAGAGAAACAACAAAAGAAAAGGCCCTGAAAGAAGACACGGCTGCTTAGATAAATGAATGCGAATTACGAGCCAGAAAGGAGAGAAGGGGGAACATTTTCCGGGGAAAATTCAACTTCCAGTGCCACATACTTTGCATACTTTTCTGTGAAGCATTCGAAACAAGCGTGAAGCCGCAGCAACTGTGTAAAATTTGTTTGGAAAAATCTCCCGAAAAGCCTCGAAAAAAAACAAATCACAAAGACGAAAAAAAATTATATACAAATGACTTTTTATGTTGATTTCATGGACGCAGCTGTTGCGGGGGGCCCGTTGTTGTTGCTCATAATTTATTATCCTGCACGGTTTGTTTTATGAACTTTAAATAAAAATTTGTTAGCAGGCAAGGGAGTCGAGATAAAGTCGAACAAGTTGTGCGGCATGTGGCTGTCGCAAGACAGTTTGCATTTTTGATTAATTTCCATTTCGCTGCTATCGACGATGCATCAATCAAAGTTTTCAACATTCTGTCCGTGAAGTGAAACAAGGAGATCGAAGAATCCTCCCCTTTGGTAAGGGAATTTCGCCCTAAAGCATAAATTTTGATGTATGGCCTATCAATAAAATTGACAAATACAGGAAGTGGTCAGTTAACTTATAAAAATATTCGTTTGAAAACTTTTCTCACTTGAAATTAAAATAAAACTATTTAAATAAAAATACTATCATAAAACTATATTTATAAATAAATGTTGTTTTAAATTAAAGATTAAAGTTGTGTTTTGCAACGCAGTATAAAGCACTTTCTGTATTTTAAGTACAGTGAAAAAATATAAATTTTCTTATTGACAACCTTTACAAAGTCGACAGCACTTTTTAAGAAATGTTTTTCTCAATTTTTTCCGTCGTCAGTCGGATTTTCTCACTCTGAAACCAAAAATCTCCCTTTGGACCAGCTCCAATATTCATTTGTTGACGTCAGTCTGATCCCCTGCCGTTTTAGCATCCCCAGTAAAACGGAAAAGAAATCTTAATCCAGACTGTTGGGGGGGAAATGTAATACAATCTCACAATTTAACGCTACTTATGCACGGCGTATGAATTTCATGCCATTTGTAAGCCACTCCAAGGCATCGAATAAAATGTTTCCACCCAACAGGAAGCAACAGAATCCAAATGAAATCTAGACAAAGTAATTCAGATTTACTTGTGATGGCTAATAACACCGAAATTCCAGAGTGATGATTGCCAATATTCGACTTGGCTTCTAAAAGAAAATTCAACTTTTTATTTCTATAAAAAACTTGTTAAGCATTTAAAGCCAAGTTTATTAAAAATACACCTTTTTAGTATTTTGGATAAAAACACGTTTTCTAATTTACTTATTATTAATTAAGCCTTAGTAAGGAATCTGAAATTAACTTTATTTTAAAAATTTAAGACTACGGTCCAATTTACTGTTACGCATTCCCCAAGATTACAATTTGCCATAAATGTATTCTTTCAAAAGCGTGTCGGAAAATCGTTTAGCAATAAAATTAAAATCTAACATAATTGTTCCCCAAAGTGGCATATGGACAAGTCGATTTTTTCGAGGGTTGTCTTCGGGTCTTATTTCGACAGAGAGACCGCGGATAAAAAAAAACAAAACGCGAATATAAGGTTGTACGCCAATTTTATTAACTGCAAATCTTATTTGCATGTTTATTTTGCATAATGTGCCGAAAAACAAGCGTCAAGTCAGGGCACACCCCTGAAAAGTGGGGGAAACGGGGGTAGCTTTCTTTTATTCAAATATTTTCTTATGACTTGCCAGAGCGCGACAAAAATTCGATTTGAGTGTCTGTCAACCGCCGAACCCCGGCCAAAAATAAAAATGAAAAACAAATTTCACGCTTAACAACGCGGTTTTGTCCGTTCGACGATTTGCATACGAAATCGGAGAAGTCAGGGGATCCTGAACCTGTCGAGGGTGGTTGCTACAATTACAGATGATATTTGGCCTTTCGATTCGAGTGGCTTTCCGTATTTTCATATTTTATGCATTTTCCACGTGCCAAATCGCGCGTCAATCAATCGATGCGCATCAGGCATGTTTAATTTTCGAAAAAATTTCCTAGCTACTCTACTGCTGCCTTTTTTATTTGTTTTTCATTTTTATGCCCCAGCACACCCCACGAAAATACCAAAAAAAAAAAAAAGAAGAAGGTGCTGGTTTCAATTTTACGCCGATTGGTTTTCGGCAATCGCCTGTGCAAATAAGCTGAGCGAGAGATAAGCCCAAGGTCCATGCTTGTCGTCTGGCTATATCTCACTGCCCATATAGCCGGGATCAAATTTAAATAAATACAAGCTAAGTGGAAAATAAAATGCTCACAAAAGGTAGTCAGGGTATTTTCCCTTTTGCACTTAACGAGACAATTTTACACAAGCCAATCTCTAATTGGATTTATTAGGATACTTAAGTAGTAAAGCCTCCAAGTAAGTGCTCGGCATTTTTTTTAAACTATGGTTAGCGAATGGAATATATTGTGTGCTTAGCCCAACTTTAGAAACTATATTTTGTATTTTACAAATTTAAGTGTGGATATAACCAAACATCTTTATTATAAAAAACTATTTTTAATAAACATAAACAGCTTACTATTTAATGCAATAACTAAATAAATAACAAGAAATAGAAAATGTACATTGTATATTTTAAATAGTTTTAAAGGCAATAATCATTTTTGAAATTTTTGTAAAGTCTGCTTTACTTCTAAGACTTATTGCTGATTTCAGTTGTAAAATTACTTGTCTTTAAAGTTTCCCACTCCAACTCGAATTGCTCGTTATTAACCCAACCAAACCGCCGAAATGAGATGTTGAAAATGTTGTAACAAACTTGGCGGAGCTTATTAAAAATTCAAGTATTGCCAATTTTTCGCTGCAGCCCAAGAGGCAGGCAACTGTAATGCGATACAAAGCGTAACCCCCACTCAGAAACAGGTGAGAATGTTGACAATGCTCGGGGAAAAGGCACTTACAACAATGGAAATGATTTTTGCATAATTTATTCGATGATTATTACAAAGAAGGAGACAGTTTTTGAGTGCCACCCAACCGTGGGGCGCCAGTTAATGTTGCTTTTTATTGCAATTAGAATGTTTTGGGGATTGTAAGTTGACGCCGCGGCTCCTTGGTCCTTGGTTCTCAGCGGCAATGTGTGTTAGGGCCGGATTTAATTTGGCTGTTGCCGGCAAAAGTGATTATGTACCTTTTGCCAGCTGCAGCTTTTCAACTCCTGTCCCCAGAGTGTCTCCGTATTGCCGTTCTACACATGAGCCACCTCTCAAGTGGTTGCTCCGGATCTTTCATTTGGACTTCAATCATATTTCATGCCCGTCGTCCTTTCCCCGTTTCGCCGTTTCGTCTCACTTGGTTTATGTTTATTGTTTTATCCTGGCTTTCCGCCGTGTGCCAAGGACTCGCGCACACACTCCGACATAATCAGAAAAGGTAATCAACATAAAGTTGAGCGTCGTCAGCAACAATTCTCGTTCCCCGTCGGCACTTGTCACATTCACAAATGAATGAAGTGCCAAAAGCACAACTGGGACTGGAAAAGTACTGAAAAATTATGATGCCATGGAGCTGGGCACACGGTGGAACAGTTGAGCTTATTACTTAACCAATCCCAGCCAAAGTATCGAAATATAAAGGATTCTTCACGAAGACTCTAAGCCAGCTTTGTCGGATAAAGTTTATCTCTACGATTTCAGTTTATACTTAAAAAGCTAACATAAAGTAGGTAATCGACCTAATTTTTTTGTTTTTGAGTATCAAACAAAGATTTTAAGCATTTTATCTACGTTGGCATTTTATATGTGGACACTAAACTTGTTAAAAAATCTAACAAATCTTTTAAAATCCAAAAAAAAACAAAATTTTTAAAAAGGATATATATATATGTCGTACATCGTTGAATTCGTCATAAAATTTAAAATCGAATGGCACACACAGCTAAAAATATTTTATTTTTTCAAATTTTGTGAAAAAAGCATGATGTACCCTCTTATAAAAAAATGCGAAAACTGATTATAGAATTATAGTTCAAAATCGACCGGGGATGGAATGTTAAGATGCCAGCTGTGCAAAACAGCCTTTAAAGGTCTAACTGTTCATTTCGAATCTAGAAATTTTGTACTTAATTCACCGTAAAATTTTAAATTGGTTCTACACGGGTTATAGCATATATAAAGCAGATATATTTTTAACTAGGCAAAAGCTAACCATGTCTTGGACTCAGCAAATCTTCATATATCTATCAATCCTCGCAATCAATTCATACTATGGTAACAAGTACTATTGATATTTTATATTAAGTGATCAAATTTTAAACCTATATTTTAGATCCGAGTGCTGGTACCTGGATCTCAGGATAAAAATCATTTCAATGTCATTTAGTTACATTTTTGAGTTGAATTCATGTATAATTTGTCTACCAACATTTTAGCAATGTGTTTTTAAAAAAAACAAGAATAAACGTTATAGTCGAGTGCCTCAACTATTAGATATCGAATTCAATAAATGTTTACTTTACCACCGTAAAATTCGTCAAGTCGGATAGCAACTAACAGCTGCTAATCCGGGTTTATTTTTAATACACAATAGCTAATCATGTCTTGGATAATCTTGGATATCTTTATATATCTATTTCAAATTAATTCTATAAGTTACTGTTTTAACTTTTAGGTCGGCCATAGCTAATTAAATTTTCCTCTTGTCAAAGTTGTCCATTTAAGTCTCCATATCTCATTCATTTCTCATATCCGGTCGTCCTTCCACTCAAAACCCTCAAATTGATTGATCAACTCAATCGGTTGTGCATTTGAGTTTTGTGTTTCGCCAAGCAGAAGAATTCAATTATTCAAGAGCCGAAAACAACGTAAAGGTGGGTTTAAAATGGGGTAAGGATCAGGGGCAAAAGGATGTGGTCAAAACCTTGTCGAATGTGAGGTATATGTATGTAGAAAATTTTTTGTTTTAGATTTTTAATCAATAATTCCCTCTATTATGAGTCCAACTGTTACTGAAAAATAAGATTACAAAAAAGGCCACAGTAAACCTTAATAAATTGATTGATGGTTGGATTGTTCCCTTATTTTTTTTTTGTTTTTACCAGATGAAGGGTTCATGATAAATGGCCAATAAATATATATATTTATATTGCTGCTGCATACGTCCGTTGGTCAGAGGCAATGAATTCCCTCATTATGGACGGGCGACTTAATTAAATGAGCTTCTCTGGTCATTTTCTGGCCACAAAAAACGCCTCGAAACCAAAATAAACACTACCAACCTAACCATCGATGGATGCCACCCCTAAATAGCCGCCTACAAGCCCCAAAATCCCAACCCCATGAACATGGCTCATTTTGCGGTCTGCATTGCATTTAATTAAATCATAAATAAGCATAAAGCGCAACGCATCTCCGACAATTAAACAAACATAAAAACCTACCAAGTGACAATGCCACGCCCCCTCTTCCCTTCCGCAGCCCACACACGCACACACACTTATTTTCACTGCATGGGGTGAAACAGTAAATTGCGCACTCAAATGACCAAAAACGCATTGAAAATTGCATTTAATTAAGTCAATTCCCGTGCTCGCCTTTGGCCATAAAAGCCGCACCATACTTTCCAGCTTCGTTGGGGAAGGAGTCCCTTTACCAAGGGGTGTATCAACTATCACTATAAAGTTCGACATGTTTAACACTAAAATCACTGAATTGATTAACTAACTTAGTTATGTTATATACATTTATATGCATTGGTTAGTAGAAACAATAATTTAAATTACTTTCTGATGTAATATAATCAGAAAGCATAATAGTATAATAGAAATTCACATGGTTTGACAAATATTAAATTAAGGATTTAATACTAAGAGTAGTTTTTCATTTTCAAATGTATTTTACTTTATTTCAATCGATACCCCAAAGAGCATTCCCAGTTCAGTAACATTTATTGAGTTTTTAAACCACTTCCTGTTTATTTTGACAAAGCAATCGGCACAAATGGATGCAAGGATTGTCTGATAATGATATGTTGATGATGATGTTGTCGTCGAGCTGGCCAAAATACCACCGGTGGAGTCAAACTGCACGTCATCGTCTGTTGTTTATTTTAATTACTGAAATTGCATTCGAGTGCCAACTGCCAAATGGCCAAGGCACCACCCACCCACCATCCGCCACACTTTTGGACCACCATCCATCCGCTCTGCCGATGTGGACTCCCCACTTGTTTTGTTAGCAGCCAGTGCACCGCTATCATCGTACCCTTTGTTGTTGCTGCTGCTGACATGACTGCATTTTGCTTTCATTTGCGTTTACGTTTGGTTTGGTTTTGGCCATTGCCTTCAGCTGGAAGTCCCAACCCTTCCCAGCCCTCCAACTCCCCACGCCACCCCCTCATCAACCCTTCCACCAACCGATGCATGTATCAAAGTTTGTTCAGGTAAAATGCCGTCGCGCAATTGTTATGAGTGTCATCATCAACGTCGACGGGCAGCAGAAAATGGAACGGGTTCAGGAACAGGACCAGAATCACACTGGAAAAAATTAGCACTGTTTCGTAACAGAGGTCTTTAAAAAGGCGTGAAACCGAAAAAACAGTAACTGCATAAAAAATTCGTTAATAAACTTTAACTAAATGTTGTATGGACTAGATTTATTAATATATCTATAAACATTGGTTGGAATTTCTTAGTATCGTTTTAACTTTTGATTTATCCTTTTAGAAAGCTAGCTATTATTTTTGTTGTATTTATCAAACTTTTTAAAAGAAACTGCATAAGATCAAATGTATTTAATATCTTCCCTATTTTAAAATGTAAATTAAGATTTCGTAATTATATTTAACTTATTTTTTGGCTGTGCATTAGAAGGAGTTGGGAATCGGTAGGACCAACCTCCTGTTAAACATGACACATTATCGATGCCCGTTACTTGGAGGTTTGGAGGGTTGGGTACGGAGGGTGCAACTTCAGTTGGAGAGGTCCTGACGAGGGTCGTGAGGCAGGGAGCCGTGCGTGGTCAGTCAACGCGCGCTTTATGCAAACACTTGGCAAACAGAAATGAAAGCATAATATTGAGCGCATGAGGCATTGGGTGGTTAAATGGGAGAAAGGAAGTTACATGAGGCCATCGCCAAGGAAAGCTAGTGGGAGATCTACGTAAGGCCAAAGAAATGTAATTTAAGATGGACAGTAAAAATTTAATTTTTAAAGTATCCCAGCGATTCGTACCTTTTTTATTTATATACACACTACATGCTTAAGATAAAACTGATTCAAATGGATACTGAATAAATGTTTTCAATATAAATTTAATAATTTTTTCTTTAAATTCGTATAGCCACCGAAATTAGTTATTAACCAAGAAAAGTGTGTTTTCAGATATAAATATATCAAAAAATATTTTTTCTATTTTAAAATATATTTAAAAGAAAAAAGAGACATCATAATCTTATTTGCCAATAATAAAACCATTTAAAAGTAAGCCTCTATAAAGCGTAAAGCAAACACAAAAAACCGAAAAGCGATTCCAAGCAACAAAGTCTATGGGCAGGAGACACCCAAATGCGCTTTAATTAAAAATTAAATCCGTTTTGCGCTCATAATTATGCAGTTCTCACATGCGCACCCCTTCCCCCGCCCCTTAACCCATTCCCACCCCCGGTTCCCAAACGAGCGAATCATTCCGAACTGGGTCTGTCCGGAAAAGTGGAAAACCGAAGAACTTGGAGCTCGTTGGGCGGGGCGTACGAGTAATAAATTTGTAAAGCACCGAAAAGGGGTTGGCAAATCGAAAGCGACAGGCAAAACGGGGGCTTAAGGGTTAAGGGGGTCCATGGCGGTACAAGAGACAGAGACAGCGCATGTAATCAGTGAATAATTCAGTTATAAGAAAATAATTTTTCGCCAAACATTAAAAAAGCGCCAAGCGAAAGAGACAAGCTCTACACCCTTAGCTGAAAATTGGTTTGGCCAAGCGGGAGGGGGGTCTTGGAAAATTAGGGGAAACGTCCCCGCCCACAACAATAACAGACAGAAAATCTCAGCAAGGGGGGCGAAGGAAAAACCGAGACAGAGACGAAGACGTTTGGCGTCATGTAAATAAGAATTATGAAAATAATAATGGAAAAAGGATTAAGACGCGAAAGCAGCCGCATCACCAACCCCGCAAGCTAAAAGAGGGCAGACAGACATGAAAAGCTTTGCAAAAATGTGGTTACTTTACAAGGAAAAAAGATAATGGAAATAAAAGCGATTCGAGACTTTAAGTACTGTACATGAGAAAAAATAATTTTAGAGTTAAGTTGGGGCCGTAAGCGATTGAAACATCATGTTCTGTATTTAAAACTTAAATTGAGAATTAACTTCAATTATAATATAAGATAATTGGTTTAAAATATTGGTTTACTACATAGTATTAAATAGGCTTAAAGTTACTGCCCTGACGCTTTCGCGAATTCTTTAGATTCAAATGATTTAATAAGGCTCTTAATAAAGCTCTGAGCATACTTCATTTTTGATCATTACAAAATGAAGAGGTACATTTTTCTTATTTTTTTTACTTTTAACATTAATCAAAAAATTTAAACCGAAATCTTAAATAACACGATCGCATTTTACCAGGGTACCAAAGCAGCGTCGAGGTCAAAGGCTCCCTCAAAACCAAAACCAAGACAAAGATGAAGATGTCGACGAAGGCCAAGACACAGGCAGTAAAAGGTTATGACGCTCGGCGTATGTGCGCCCCGCAGCTTTTACCGAGGTTGGGGGTTAAGAGAAAGAGGCCGAGGCCGAGGGCGCGCGTGGGTTAAGAGGTGGCGGTGGCGGCGGTACACTAAGCCCACACGACATGCAGTCGCGTATAATTATGACATTTTTACAGTGCGGTCCTCGCTGTTAGTTTTCCTTGAATTTAATTACTGCCGCCTTTTTGCATGAAATATCGAAGAGGGTGGGAAAATCAAGTGGGTGCGGGTGGTTTATGTAGCTTGTTCCGGCAACTTTGCTGCATTTTTAATGCGACCACAGCTCTCACACAAGAAACAAAAAGAAATGGGAGAGCCTGCCAAGATGCTTAACACCCAACCGCCGACGACACCTGCCTGATTTATCGCCCAAGACGCGACAATTTCCCACAGTTTCCACCGGGATGACATAGCACCATACCGCCACCACCATAGTCATTTGCCACCCAACGAACACCAGAAAAGTTGTTAACATTTTAGACATTTTTTTGCCCTTATACATTTCCTTTTTAATTTCAATTTTCTACTCGACAAACGGCCGCCAACAATTTGTCGGTTCGGTGTCCTTGTTAGTCCTTGATGATGGGTGGCAGGGTGGCAGTGGGGTTGGCTCATTTCGTGTGTGGTGTGTAATTGTCTTGTTATTGTTGCTCAGGCTGCTTAAAATTAATTTTTATTTATAAGTCCCAGCTCCCAAGGTGCGAAACGTGGCAATTATGCCTGGCAATGCCTTTAAGCAATTATATTTCACAT